ATGGATAAATCGCGTGACAGGAGAAGGGAACAGACAAGTGAAAGTGGGTTTTGAAATTTGGACAGACCTGTGGGCGAACGATCATGAAATAATGGGAATAAGCAATCCCATACATGTGTGTGGATTTCTCTGGATGAACAATTCAACAACAAGTTGCAAAGCATCCGATTACATGAACACCTATTTTCAGCCGTAAATCTCTTTGCAACCAAACCATACAGAGAGAGAAATTCCGGGTAATCTGACGAGTGAATCACTTTTATTTTGCCTCTCGATCCGGAATTTCATTTCTTGCAACCGGTAAACAGAATAGTCTGTTTGGCATTAAGCGAGGATTCTGGATTGCACAGCAGTTCATCTTTATAGTAATAGTTTTCTCCTTTAAAACGACTCGTGAATATCTAATTGGGTTTTGGGCATTTACTGAATATAGTTACAATAACTGGGGTGTAACAGTAGAGGATGATTTGATTCGTTTCGGTAATGCATCTTATCGCGTGCTTGATGTGGACAAGCTGGATAAGCTGCATTGCTCGCAAGTAAATCTGAGTGCGATATAAAAATATGTTTCTCGGTGCACCAAAAGTATGTATATAGATGTAAGAACAAGTTTGGAAACTAAAATATTTGAAGCTTTCGCTTACAAAAATAAGCAGAATGAAATTGAAACTTCCTTTAACCGAAATGAAATTAAACAGAGAACACAGCAGGACAGTGCTGCACAATTTATTTTCGGAGAAAATTGCTGTATCTCTTCAGTTGAAAAATATATATAACGAAAACGAATAATTCACATCTGACTAACAGTTATCTGTGAGTGGTGATGTGGGGTAATTTATATTGATTTAGACTGACTATCCTGCGGACTTCACTTTCACGTACAATCCTCAGCTCATCTAGTAAACCAAATACTCGGATATGGATCCGCAAAACACATTTAGCTTAGATAGTATGACTGAATGATGTAATATGGCTTTATCGTGGCCCTGACCGAATAAAAAAACCTTCTGGCCCAAAACTTGAATAGGTATATCCACTTTTACGATTTAACCAAAAAAACGGGGTTGCAGTGAAGGTATTTCATGCACCATAATTACTTTGCATCAAAACATGAAGCCAGAAAAAAACTACGTGAAAACCATTTTGGTGACAGTTTCCTTTGTGAATTCCTTTTTGCGATGTTAATACTCCATTTTGTTTTACTTCCAACTACCAAGAGTTCATATATGACATCGGCTATGACACAGTTTCCAGCGGTTTCCGCCGTACGGCTGGGTTGCCTCATACCCATTTCATATTCCAGATTCACACAAACGTGTCAACGCTCGCCATGGACTTGATTCCTGTTCTGTTTTATTACTCGGGATTAACGAAATAAAATCGTTACAACATTGGATTCCGATTATCCAATTCTTTAGAACAGAGAGAAGACAAGTAATGCAAGATGGTAACACCTCTTTTAATCTCCTCAGTCACTACAGCGTGACAGATTCTGGAATTAAAGCAAAAAGCTTTGAGAAATACCGTTGATTCTTGTCCCTGGAACCAATGTGATCATCAAACTTTCTTGAATGGTTACCCGAGTGTGTTGCGTTGTAACGACTGAGGACAGTAAATCAGATAAGATCAATCGATTGGGTTCTCTAACGGTGACAGTTTAAGGTCGTTTAGAGTGATAAATGGGAGGACCCTAAGTGTTTTCCGTAACCTGTTTTCTTTCGGCGTGTCATGGGTTGAATTTTGCTTCTCGAGTCTGGTGCTTAAGCATGCAATGCTATATTCGATTGTCCTTATTTTATGAATTCTACATTTTAGCATGTTTGTGTTGCAACAATAACTTCACACTTTACCATAAAATTTAACTTTTATTTGTAGACGCTATCTGATCGACATTTTTATACATACGTTTTCTATATACCCATCTGGACCACCGGAAAACTTCAATTCATTTTTTTTAAACAATTGGCTATTTACTTATTTACTTTGTGTTCCATTCATGTCAAGAGAATCTGCTGACGTTAAGGAGCATGGCGCAGTCTCCCCTGTTGATGGCCGTAGTGCCTGAGGATTTCAACTCGGAATTCCCGAGTTTATGCCTGAGTAAGAGGGATTTTCATTGACTCAATTTAAAGCTCGCGCGGTGGATAATTCTGTCCAATCTGTATGATAATAGCAGAGCATAAATCATGACAACTTTCGTGTTACTGAATAGTAGACCCCTGAAAACATCGGCCAACATACCAGGTAGTACAGTGTGGAGCAATGATCCGCTACAAATAGCTACGTGTGAGCTACATAAGCTACATTTATTATTTAATCGTAATTTACCATTAAAATGCATTTATCGTAACGGTT